TGGTCGGCCTGTTGATGCGTTTTGGGACATCTTCACTATTCAGGAACGCATCAGCAGGCCGACCACACCACTAGTTGGACCCTCTGCCATCATTTCGGCCATCTCTGTGGCCTTACAGGCTTTTTATACGTTAATTTTGTATGGTTTTTGTCTTTTAAATATTTTTAATAAACCTTGGATAATGCTCTAGGTGTTTGTGCCTCCGGTGTGCTTTTTTCCAGTGCATTGATCTCCCCATCTCTGGGGGGCTGCATCATTGGGACTTTGTCTTGCTGGCAGGGCCTGGACAAGAGGTGGGCTGGAGGGACAGCTGCCCTGGGCACTGTGGTATCATGTAAGGAAGGGGGGGGGGGGGTGTGTTTTGGGAGGAGAAATTGGGGACATGGCAGGGGGGTAAGAATTGGTCTACGGGGGGAATTTGTGGGGGGTGCTAAGGGTGTTGATTTTTGTTGGGGGGGGGGGGAATGGGGGAAGAGAATTTGTACTAGGAGGGATTTGGGGGTTTTGTGCTAGAACAGATCGTAAAGGAGATCATTTTTTTCTTTTTTTTTGGGGGGGGGGTTGTGGTAGTAGGGATGATTGGAGGGGGGGGGGGATTTGTTATTGGAGGGGGCTGGCTTTGAAGTGGGAAGGGGAGGATTTGTGTTTGAAAGTGAATTTTTTTCTTTTTTGGGGGGGGGGGGGGTTGTGCTAGTATCAATGATTGGAGGGGGGGGATTTGTTATTGGAGGGGGCTTTGGGAGTGGGAAGGAGAGGAATTGTGTTGAAAGTGAATTTATTTTTTTTAGGGGGGGGGGGGGGGGGGGGGGGTTGTGCTGGTAGGGATGATTGGAGGTGGGAGGAGGGGGGATTTGTTCTTGGAGGGGGCTTTGGAGTGGGTTAGAGGATTTGAGCTAGGAGGGGGAGATTTTTTTTTTTTTTTGGGGGGGGGATTTGTGCTCCAGGGATTGGGGGACAGAGAATATTGATCTGGCGAGGGGATGGAGGAGGGGCCTACGATTTCCGCTGGGAGGGGGTATTTCAACAGAGGGCAGAGTTGGAGTTAGGGAATTTTTGCTGCAGATGCGTGCTCCATTTTTTTTGGGGGGAGGGGGGGAATTTTTGCTGATAAATTAACGCCCTTATATTTTTTTGGGGGGGAGGGGGGAAGCTGTCTGGCATGTTTGCCCTGGGCTCTTAATGACTTTGCCCAGGCCCTGCATGCTGGGGATTGTAGTTCTATTTGGGAGGAAGTCTTCCAGCAGCTGCTGAGTAAATATTGGGCTCTGCTGACCCACATGCAATGGGCTGGTTTTTCTAGCCATGGCGTTTTGGTGGAAGTTGCTTGTGGCCAGGAAAAGCTGGCACTCGCTCCCTCGCTAATTTCCAGAACGCGCGGCATTGTGCTGCGGTGTGGGAAAAGCACCATCTCCCCTTTTTTTTTTTGCACTTTTTTTTTTTTCTGCTTCTCTGGGTCAAACAATTGAACAATCGCTCGCACAATGCCCTCTGCACATCCTGACAATGAAACATTGTGCGCTCGGCCCCGTCCCTTTCCCCCCCCCCCGGAGGATGCAGCCACAACATGTAGTAAAATCCGTAGTTCCTCTCGACGAATGTGACCGAGGAAGACGGGCGAGGGAGGACCTAAAAGGCGGCGAGGATCATTTCATATGCTGGAGATGTAAACAGTTTTACTGCTGTGATGAATTCATACTGACATGTATTCACTTCAGTGGAACGCAAAGTGCGCCCGCCTGTAGCCACCCGTCACAATTCATTTTTCAGTATTCTGACCTCTGCAAACTGAGTGTTGTATGTGGGATGGTGGGGAGGAAAATCTGATTGGTTGTCAGCAGTTGCTGCATGTAAAGCTGAATTCTAGGGAAGATCTAAAAGAAACACACAAATGCAGCTTGGATTCGTTTTACATTATTTGTGTGTTGGTGTATATAATGTGTGTGTGTGTGTGTGTGTGTGTGTTTGTTTTATGTATGTATGTATTTTTTTTGTATGTGTGTATGTATGTATGTTGTATGTATATATGTGTGTGTGTGTGTGTAATTATGGTGTGTTTTTTTTTTTTCTCAGAGGAGTTTTTTATTTGGAACTCCCCCACCCAAACCTGGTTTTTTTTCAAACCCTAGGATGGTTTTTTTTTTTTAGAGAACAGGAATGCAAGTTTTTTTTTTTTTTTTTTTTTTTTTTTGTTGTTTCCCGTACATACCATATAAGGGAAATGTTGTTTGTCAATCGGACCCCCGGCTTTTTTTTGCATGATTGCATGAAACACATGCATAGAATAAAATGACTTGTTGTTTGACACCAGAAACACATGTTTTATTTTTTTATTTTGATGTAATGTTTTTGTTTAACACATGTTTGATAGTTTAAAATGAATTTTTACTTTGTGTTTTTTTTTTTTTTACACGCATAGGTTATTTTTTCAGTACCGTGTTTGACACCAGAAACACATGGTTAGATTTTTTTTTTTGTACTGTTTTTTGTTTGCATTATAAAAATTTTACCGTTTTGACCAGAAAACACGCATTTTTTTCAAAAAATCAGTTTTTTTTGACACCAGTTTTTTATGTTGCATAGATATAAATTTCAGTACCGTACTGACACCAGAAACACACGCATTTTTATAAAATCAGTTTTGTTTTTTTTTTTTTTTTGCTATTTATAAAATCATGGCATGTTTTGTAAACGTCCAGCATAGTTTTAAAATCAGTCTAGCATTTGTTTACCCTGTCTGGTAGATGTTTTTTTTTGGCTCCCCTAGGGTTTTTTTTTTCCTCCAAAAAATACCGTTATTTTTTTTTGAATTTATTTTTCTGTTTTTCATGCACAGGATTTGTTATTTTTGATTTTTTTTTTGAGCGCTGAGCAATTGCGTTTGAAATAGGGGGGGTTTAGGTTTTTTAAGGTGGGTGAGGATTTAGTTTAGGTGGGGCTTTTTTTGATAGTTTAGGTGGGCACATTTTGGTTGGGATAGTTTAGGTTATTTTTTTTTGTGGGGAGAGATTTTTTAAATTTTTTTAGAGCAATACTTGATACTGCAGTCTGTGACAGGGAGCCGAGCGCAGCTTTGTTTCCATGTCCACAAGTTTTTGTTTTTTTTTCCCCTTTAAATAGTTTTTTTGGGTGTTTTTTTATTTTTTGTTCACTGCCGTTGAAAAATAAAATAAATGTTTTTTTGTGTTTTTTTTTTTTTTTTTAAATTTATTTTTTTTTTTTTTTTTTTTTTGAAAAGTTTTTAATTAGTGTTCTTTTATTGTTATTCGTCCGCGCGCCCCGATGTTTTATTTTTATTTATTATTTTCGATTAATTTTATTTAAGCACATTTTTATAGTTTTTTTATTTTTTTTTGTTTTTTTTTTTTTTAATTTTTTGCATGTTAGTGTTTTTTTTTTTTTCACCGGGTTGTTTGTGAGCAGTTTTTGGTTAGTTTTTTTTTTTTTTGGGCATTTTTGTTTGACATAAAAGTTTTTGTCCGGTTTGTTTTTTTTCGCTTTTATTGCATATTTTTTTGTAGCTCTGCAGAAAAATAGTTTTTTTGTAGCGGGGACAAGAAGAAAAAGGTGGCGGAATTTTTAGTTTTTATTTGCCGTTTTTTTTTTTTGTGTTAAGTTTTTTATTTTTGTGTATTTTTATATTTTGTATTTATTATTTGTGTATTTGTGTGTTTATGTATGTTGTTTTTTTTATTATATTTTATATGTTGTTTAATTATATATATATAAAAACAAAACGGTATTACAGTTGGTTTTTAAATAGAATGTAGAAAAACCTGTCACCTGTAGAAAAGGACTGTTAAAGTGATTCTAAAGGATCATTTTTTTTATTTTTTTTTTTATTTTAAAAAGAAAAAATAAACTTGTCTATATTTACCTGCTGTGTGCAGTGGTTTTGCACAGAGCAGCCCAGATCCTCCTCTTCTCGGGTCCCCCGCAGGCTCTCCTGGCCACTCCCTTTTTGTCAGGTGCCCCCACAGCAAGCAGCTTGCTGCTCCGTGTGTCCATTTCACACATGGAGCATCGGGATTGGCCTGCCCTTCTCTCTTCTCATTTGCTCACTGGCTGTGATTGACAGCAGTGGGAGCCAGTGGCTCCTGCTTCTGTCTCAGCCAATGAGAAGAGGGAATCACAGGAGAGCCGAGACTCCAGTGCACATCGCTGGATCAGGAGGGGGCTTAGGTGGGTTTTAGGGGGAGCTGGGATGCTGCACACAGAAGGTATTTTACCTTCATGCATAGAATGCCTGAAGGTAAAGAACCTTTGAGCCTTCACAACCACGTTAAGCTGACCATAGATGGACCAACCTTTGGCTGGTTTAGCAGAGACCAGTCAGATTTTGAACTGCCATCGTTGTTCAACAGAAGCCGATTGTTATATCAACTTTGAATTGACAAGCAGGAAAACATTTGTTGATCAGTGGCTGCAACCAATTGGAGACAGAGGCTTGCTGTCAATATACTGTCTCAGCAGGGGGATTCTTCCATCCACCTCATTTGTTTAATTATTTTTTGGTGCTAAATGCAATAAAGATCCATCTATGGCCAGCTTTAGTGTGTGGAAGCAGTGGTCTCTCTGTAGAGGTCCGACACACCCCCTGCTGAGCCAATATAACGCTTCAATTAGCAGGTAGCATGAGCTGTGCTGGTTTTCAGAGCTGTAGCTCTGCATTAGCGAAGGGACATGTCAGACCTCCACAGAGAGACTACTGCTTCCACTCAGGGAGAGTTCCTTTCCCTGCAGCATACTGGCAGGGCACAAGCGTTTTTACTCAAGCAGCAGGCTGTGGCTGCTTTAAAAGAAAACCACTTGTAAGATTTTTCACCTTTTTTATTCTGATGTACCTAGAATGTGTTAAGTTGATTTTCATTTAAAGGTTCTACTTTCTTTTCTTTAACTACACCAGTGCATCACATAACACATTGCAGCCCATGATGTAAGGTCAGGTGGTCTGTAGAGAAGCAAAGTATCAATTTTATAATAAATTATTTTCTTTTCCCAGGTATGGTCTGTACACCCGGACCAGACTCGGCTACTGGTTCTACAAGAGGCAGCTGAAGAAAGCGCGAGATCGGTACCCACACGGACACTCTTCCACGCAGGCGATCGTCTTCAGCGGTACGACATTCTACAGTAGATAACCACTGCTATTTACTTAAAGCCTAACACCAGTCCAGGGGCGGACTGACAACTCATGGGGCCTCCGGGCAATAGGGGATCATGGGGCCCCTGTGTCCTTGCCCAAACTCAAAAAAGCTTATGAAAAAGGTACCAGCGGCATCTCATGGGGCCCCCTACTGACCCCGGGCCTTCGGGCAGTGCCCGAGTTTCCAAATGGTCAGTCCGCCCCTGCACCAGCCCCATTTCCTTAGTACTGGGTAGAGTGGGCTGAAGGTAGAGATGGAAAGGCCTTGAAAAAAATTTAAATTGTGAATAAAAAACATTATCTTTCCTTTCTTGTTTTTTTTTTTCCCAAAGCTTTTTTGTTTAAAAAAAAAAAAGGGTGACATATGTTCTTTTACAATGATAAATATATCTATGACATGGTATTCAAATTATATCACACAAAGACCTTAATGAAAGATTTCTGCGACTTTATATGTAAAGTCCTAAATTATTTCAGGTTCTCTCAGCTGAAGATAAGCAAATCCAGGAATACAATTCAAGTAACACTGTACTTCTCAATGCAGTTCTCAAACAAGAGAAATATGCATTTCTGCCATTCGGCGGCACTGCAGTGGACAGATTTTTTCCATCCCTTCCTGTCTTGACAAAAGTGCCAGGAAATCTCCCCAAATGGATCATGGGCAGCAAAAAAAAAAAGAATCTAGTTGAGGAAAATGAAAAAATAGTGCTGGATCCGTAAGGTTATCTTATTGGTATTGCTGTTTTATCGTAAGGTGATATTGTTGATGTAGGTTAGTGGTCTCGAAAAGCATGGCCTGGGGGCCAGATGTGGCCCTTCACTTTGCTTTTATCTATCCCTTGGGGCACTATTTCACCAACTGATACCAACAATGGGACATAATTTCCCTCACTGGTACCAATGAAGGGGCACAATTTCTCCCAATGACACAAACAATGGGGCCCAATGACACCAATGATTGGGTACTATTCCTCCCGCTGACACCAAAGATGGGGCGCGTTTTTTTTCCCACTGCCGTCGGGACTTTTTCCTACTCCCACTGGCCAGAGTCTGGTCCCCCTAAAGTCCGTAAACTGGCCTTTTGTTTAGAAAGTTTGGAGACCCCTCATGCAGGCAATCAGGTTCCTGGTTAGGCATCTTCTACACCTCAGAGTGCCTTTCTCAAACTTTTCACCCACGAGGAACCCTTAAAAAAACAAGTTCAGTTGCTCATGGAAACCCTGCTAAAATGGACTACACCTACATCCCATAATCAATACGTTGAACAAATATTTAAGTCGCTGTGTAAGAAACTGTGCAGTGCTATAAAATGTTTTATATAATAAATGACATCAAAACCGTGCAAAAAAAATAGTGAAAATTCAAAAGTAAAGAATCTGTTGTCATGACTTAAAAAAAGTAACACTACTTTTGCTGACAAACAAAAAACACTCCCCCCTCGGGGTGATCTATGTACACTGCAGGGATTCTAACAAATTTCGTTGTAGATTCCTACCTTTTCTTATTCTGAAGAAATAGCTGTTTGTTTCTCTGTATCCATGTGCAGATTGAATCTATACAGGAGTGAATTCATAATTCTCAATCAGCTGCTGCTCCTCCAGTGCTCTGAGGAAAGTGGCAGGGTCTGCATCCTTTTAGATGTGATATCCCTTTGGGGATGCTCAAAATCTGACATTTGCAGAAAATCAGTGAGCCAATCACATAAGCAGGAAATTACATTTCTGGGGGGGGGGGGGGCGATCTGAACACCATCTGTGCACAGAACGCCTCCATGTAGCCATATTGCTTTTTACAGAAGATTACAGAGCTGCAGATTGAAAGGGAAAGGTCATTTTTTTATAGACTTCAATTACAGTATGATTTGTGTCGCAAGTGTATAAAGTAAGGAGGTCCGCTCACTAAAATGTTCTTCTGGCCAAAGTTCGAATAGGGTGTGCCCATCAGTGTGCCCCCTTACATTAGATGTCACCATCAAGAGTGCAACTCTACATCATGTATTCCCATCACATCAGGTGTGTTCATCAGAGTTTTCCTTTACATCAAGTATCCCCATCACATTGCCATCTTACATCAGGTATTCCCCTCAGAGTGTCCTCTTAAACTCAAAGTACCCCTTTACATTGTATTCCCTATCAGAGTGCCCCTTTACATTGTATTCCCCATCAGAGTGCCCCTTTACATTGTATTCCCCATCAGAGTGCCCCTTTACATTGTAAAGCCATTTATAACTCTGCCCCAAATTACATCACCAATCTTGTCTCCAAATATCGCCCAAACTGTACTCCCCGCTCCTCGCATGACCTCCTGCTCTCTAGCTCCCTTGTCTCCTCCTCCCATGCTTATCTCCAGGACTTCTCCAGAGCTTCCCCCATGTGGCAGGCGCAGCACCCTTTGGTGCCTAGTGCGCTGTGGCATTAGAAAAATTATGCAATTGCTGTTTCTTTGTTTGATTGGACTGACTTTACTCTGTAATTCCTCCAATGCCGCTCTATGGATGCAGTAGGTTTAAAGAGCACACCGAATACTTTAGTTAACTTCTTTAATAACTTCAATCTTCTTCATATAACTGCTTACAATGGCTTGTTTCTTTCATATTACAATGGTTTAATTCGTATTACATTGGGTTGATTCGATAGATTGATAAATTCGTTAGATTCGGTAAATTTGTTCGATTATGATTACTCTACAGTGACTTGATTCGTTTAATTCGTAAATTCGATAAGTTCGTAAATTCGTAAGTTCGGTGGAACTAAAGTAAACACATACAACGTTTTTAGACACAGATCTACCTGCACTGTTAAACAATAGAGGAACACACAAGTGCATTAAATACATATTTGGCCTGCTCTGCCTCCATAAAGCTTTCTGATTGGAACTGTCTGTTTCCTCTTCTGTCTGGTGAGCATGTGTCTCCAGAAAATCCTAGCAGGGAGTTTTACACAGGCATAGATGTGAAACTGGCTGGGATTGGTTAAGGCTCTGTACAGTGTGAGGCTGTCTGTGATTGGCTCATCTTTAACTAACTCTTAAAGGCATATTTTCCTTTTCTGCTTCTGCTAACACAATGAATATATAAATGTCATATAACAATCAAAGACATAAATTACAGCAATGATTCTGCTTTTGACTTTAACATGTGCAGCGAATGGTAAACCCCATATACACTGTACTGAGGTTATTGGCAGGTTTGGTATACACATATATGTGAACCATATTAACAACCTAGGACTGGTCTTAGCTGGCCAGCTACACCCCATCCTCTGGAACTCTCTACCCCAATTTTTCAGACTATCGCCTACTCTGCTCACTTTTAGGCGATCTCTGAAAACCTCTCTCTTCAGGGAAGCCTATCCTGCCCTCAGCTAATAATACTCTTCCTACCAGTCCATCCCCCACAGTTACTACCTTTTGTACCACTAGCCCCTCCCTCCTAGATTGTAAGCTCCCAGGATCAGGGCCCTCCTATCCCTCTTGTATTGAACTGTATTGTTGCTGTATTGTCTCCCATTATATTGTAAAGCGCTGAGCAAACTGTTGGCGCTGTATAAATCCTGTATAATAATAATAATAATAATATATAAATCCTGTATAATAATAATAATAAATCCTGTATAATAATAATATAAATCCTGTATAATAATAATATAAATCCTGTATAATAATAATAAATATATAAATCCTGTATAATATAATAATAATAAAGGGCTGGGAGGCAGCGGCGGGCAGGGGTTAAACGCATGCAACAACAAAAAATTTTACAAAGACGGCTCTGGCAGGGAAAGGGTTAATCCATAATAATGTTTTTGGAAAGCAAGAACTCTCCCTGTTTGGCTCATGAGGCTCTATAGATATATTGGCAGAGAAAATATACTGCATGGTTCCCTTTAACCGTTCTGAAGAGGAGACCGAGTACAAAGTCTTTGGCTCTGGAAAGTCGCGAGTAATAGAGCGGAAGCGTGAAAAGTGCGGAGTCATGTTTGCATTGCATAAGTTCTAACGGTGAGATCTGAGGACGGCAGAGGGGGCAATGTGTCCCGGGTAAAGAATGGAGCGAGGGGTGCGTGGGGTTACCCAATGCAGTCCTGTACAGAGAGAAGGAAAACATCTGCGTGTGTAACATTGTATCTGTTTGTTGAAATCCGAGAGTTTTCAGTGGCTGATGATTAACCGAAGAGCGAGATAACGATCCGAGAATCGAGAACGAACACAACACACTCCGCACAAGAAAACATAAACCGCTTATTTAATACGATGAACAGATAAAAATGTAGCAGCCTCGGGCAGCAGATTAGAATTTTTTTAAATGAAGCTTTTAAATGGTAACAATCATTACATGCTGTATGCACACAGCCGCTGCCAAGACATTTCCGGGGGGGGGGGGGGGGGTTTAGGGATTGGGCAAGAAGGAAAAGGCGGATAAGGCGCCAATCGGCGCCAGTGTTTATTTCAGCACCTTTAGTGGTACAGCGCCAATCGCCACTCTTGGTGGTTTGCATTTCTGTCTTGCAGAACTGGGGTCCTTGGCTTGAGTCCAAACCAGGACACAGCCTGCATGGAGTTTGCACAGTGGTGGGCCGTCCAGGAGAGAAGGCCTAAATACTGATTAAACTATCAATCCTCATACACACGGGACGTTTTTACAGTGGCTGTTTTTGGCTTTTGACACTTTTTTTTTTTTTTTTTTTCTACAGCCAGTAAACCCCCCAGCATGTTATCCTATGTGTCCATCCCCGGCATGTTATCCTATGTGTCCATCCCCGGCATGTTATCCTATGTGTCCATCCCCGGCGTGTTATCCTATGTGTCCATCCCCGGCGTGTTATCCTATGTGTCCATCCCCGGCGTGTTTTATCCTATGTGTCCATCCCGGCGTGTTATCCTATGTGTCCATCCGTGTTATCCTATGTGTCCATCCCCGGCGTGTTATCCTATGTGTCCATCCCCGGCGTGTTATCCTATGTGTCCATCCCCG